TTCAGATTACATCATTATTTTTTTACACAGATCGTAAGAATGATAATTACCAACCCCACAAACCGCCTGTTAAACGATCCAGAGGCTACAGTTCTTAGATTATTATGAAACAAAACAAATGTACATCAAATGGTGATTTCTCATTTATGCTAGACAAATAAGTCAATATGTGTGAAGTGGTCTTTGCTGTTTAATCGGCTGGTCCGAATGTTGAAATACAAAGACCTCACAGAAAAGTTTCAAAAACAGACAATGCTTATAGGTCGTTAGGTGAATGACTTGGTCAAGTGCCAAATGCTCTTGATAGTAACATACTTTACGGTTCTAAAAACGAACCTAAGATTATGCTTTCTTCGTGCTGAAGAGCGCGTTGTAAAAATGTTATCGTACATCGTATTCGAAGCGAAGAACTTTAGGTTATTGGTATAGTGTCATGATGCATCAGAGATCTTAGAGTACCTAGCCTTGAAATTAAGCTGTGGGGCCAGAAAGCTATTTTGTAGTTCGTAGGCGTCTTACAATAATCTTTTGCACATAACATATTACAATTTGTTTGTTTTTGCCTTAATACTGTTATTTGCATAAGAGGAGCTTTGTATTTGTTAAAAGTAAATTTATGTATTTGAGAAGCAGAAGTATAAACAAAAACAGGAATGCAATTCCCGATAACTTTCGTCGTTCGAATACTTACCTAACTTCTTTTGCTAAAAGACAAAATACTTAAATGAAAACATCTTATTCAATATTTATTGTGTTCAAAGAACAGTTAAATACAACTGTATTAAAATGATGTCCTCATGTAATGCAGAGGCAATAATAATTATACATTTGTGAAGAAAAAAATGGGTCATGTTAAAATCGCTGCGCGTATGAAATATTTCATGGCCGTACCCGATCAGATTTCTCGACAGGCCATCTTTAATCTCGTACAACGAAAGCACCTTACCTAATCCATTGAGTAGCGAGTGCTTTAAGCGAAGCGTTCATATTTAACAGTATTTTCCTTTTCTTACCCTAAACCGGATAAAAGAAAACTACGTATTTGTTTAGTGTGGTACAGTACCGTTTTCTTACAATTTTACTTTCAATAAATCGTATTTACATATAATTTTTAATATCGAGCAGATTACATATGCTATATCAATACAGAGGTATTATATACGGAATAAATAGGTAAGAAAGAAAGATGTCTCGGACCTTGGAAAAAATATTGAAACTTAATACTTAAAATTAAAGTAACAAATAAATTGTATAACAATTAGGGCATATTAGCTATGCTATTAGAAATTAATAATAATTTTATTAAGTGTTTCGTTCATTCTTAATTGGAGTTTTGTTCACTTCAGTAGGACAAACAAGAAATATTATAAGGGAAGCATTATGAAAATATTTCGAAGTTGGATCGTTGGAGTCGTTTGCCAATCCGAAATAAACAGAGGAGGCATTTGCCCAGCAGTGGGACATTAATAGGCTTATATATACTTTACTTTATTATACTTTACCTTTACCTTATATATATTATACTTTACCTTTTTTCACTTTACCATATATTTTTAGTATTCTACAATTATAACAGATTGTAAATTTCCGTTAAAGTGTGTTTATTTACTTTAGGTTGCGTATACTGAAAGGGGAATGCGGAATTTACGATTATAGGATTAAACACTTTATTACTACGAACGCGATTTAGGATGCCTCTAAATCTCACCATACTTGGAAAGTGAACGACCCAAATTCAATTACATTTGTTCGAACAAAAACCAACCTATTTTTTCATTTTTAAAAATGACAAAAATGCAATAGCTTTTACTTAATACCGGGTATAATAGATATAGAAATTATGTTTGACATCATCAATAGTGATTTAAAGACTCGTCATCGTAGATTTCAAAACAAACGCAATTAAAACAGACGTCAATTTCGGAGCAGTGAGCATGTCGACCGCTTAGTAGTTGTAGTCTGGCTCGTAATCCGGTATGCGCAGGTTCGAATCCTGGCAGAGCAGAAATATTTTGTGACCCTTTTATCTAGTCATTTTTGCGATTATACCAGATCACTCGCCTCAATTATACTTGATTATCATGTATTTTTATGTTATAATAATTTTATATGAGCTTATTTTTTTAAATTACTCCTCTTAAAAAATATCATCTTAAAAAATCTACTTTAAAAAATTCATAGTTTCATAAATAAGATTACTTTAGAAAATACATGTTGCCCATTTGCAAAATTTCTATTGTGTTATATTTTTATATTTTTTGATTGATGTTGTATCAATCAATAGGCAAGATACTTATAAGTTGCCTTGGGGAAGAACTGGCAAAATTTTACAAAAAATAAAGTACTTATAGTTGGTGGCAAGAGACAAAAAATAAGCCCATAATAGAAACCGTTATTTAACGATAAATGGTTGTATTATCCTAAGAGGATTTATAGCTTTTAGAAGATGCCTGTTACACAGAATAGATTATAATGAATACAACTGATGTCATTAAAGTCCTTAACAACGGCGGACTAAGTTTCGACGGCATTATAAAAGAAACCCCGGAAAAGAATCTTCCGAAAAAATGACTTCAAAGTTTACAAGAAGCAAGAATTTCTGCGCGTATGATCAAATCGACGAAGTTTTCTTATTAGGGATTTTTAAACAACAATAAATGCACAGAAAAATGTCGAATAATGGTTAAAAGACGTTGCCGTTTATGTATTTTCATTTTTATGTACTAGTGGACGCCGAGTGGTCGAAATTCGACCATAATTAATTAAAATTTTAAGTTTGAACAATATTAATCTGTGCTCAAATTTAATATACATTAAACAAAAGAGTATATATTATGCGTGTGTGTGTGTGTCAAATACACTGTAGTGTGTATAATGTTTTTTAAATTGATTAAATGTATTTTTATCTATAATTAATAAAATATTAGCATTCTGCACTCCTTCTCTATATAATCTGTAAGTGTCGGAAACTTCATACTCCTCCGTCCACCCAAATTTCGTTAAAAGGGGCCAAAGTTTTTACATAGTTAGTACATAGTTTTTCTCTTTGTTAGATGATATTATTATTTTATATTGATGTGAAATACCAACAGCCGAGATTTTCTATATCAATATCTGCCCTGTATTAAGAGTATCGTACTTAGTTCGGTTAAGGGCGCACGATAAGCGTTCTTGGGGCTGTATAGTACAGGATTTGTAGCCGACCAACCTCAGTCCGTGGCGTGTAAACTTGCAGATAAGGCAATTCACGACGAAATCCTGACACTCTGTTTGACGTAGCGGTGTGAAAAGTAACCTCTACTGTGCGCCAGTCTTCCATCCATATGTAGTACTTCTACAAATCATTAATGAAGAAGGTACAGTTGGAATGTTACTCTTACGATTCTTGACTAATAAACATGGTAAATCGACTACTCGAATCTTTCAGTATCGGTTTTAGTGTTCCGTACCCAAAGGGTAAAACGCGACGCGGATGTTATACGAATGGGCAGGCTCGTCCGGGTGAGTACCACGACTTCACAGAAGACCGGCGTAAAGTGGAAGTATGACAAGTACTTTCGTCTGGTGAGTGAGGTGGCCGGAGCCTAATTTCCAAAAAGGTTGTCAACGCATCTGCAAACCCTCAGGTGTAGCAGAAGTCCATGGGCAGCGGTATTCACTTAACATCAGGTGAACCGTCTACTCCTTTGGCAACTTTTCACATTAAAAAAAATTAATAAAGAATTAAGGGGGCACCCATAGAACAAACGCGTGGTGGTTGCTAGACAACATATCGGTACTTACCACTACACTACCAATAAGTTTAATTTAGATAAAGGTACGGAACCTTCCGCGCGTTAGTCCGACTCGCACTTGACTGGTTTTTATACCCCTCCGGACTCGCAAATCATTGGAATGTTTCTAGTTTAAGATATATTTTATAACTTGTCTGTGGCGAGTTCGTTAGTACGCAAAAATAACAATATTATCGTTTCACTTGAAACTCATTAACGCTTCAGGCTTAATCAAATCAATTACTCATTCTAATTATCAAACATCAATAAGTCCTTTAACGATCTACACAAAACAAGCAACCCTAGAAAACTAATTGCTGCACGATTTTAATGCAAATAATTGCTCGGCTTTAATCGTTTTGCTTTATATAATTTAATCACGACCACAACTATTTCATAATTAACGACTCAATTAAGACCGTGTCGAAATGTGAGGCGCTATAATTGCTGCTTAGTTAAAATAACACGTATTTATTACCGGATTAACATAACTCAATTGAATTAAGGGTTATATCGTGGTAAAGAGATTAGCTAATATGTGAAGACAGTCAGCAAATAATGCAACATAGAAAAAAAAAACTACCCACGGCTGCAACAGGTAGTCCGTGTTTCCGCCGAAGCTCTCCTTCTTACAGTACATTTACTATGCACTAAAGATGAACCTTAAACGAAATATTAAAGTCACGGCGCGAAGATGAATGATCTTTACACTCATTATAAAGAACGAATGAATGATTTTCGCACCGTACATTCATCAGCCACATGGCTCAGCGCGCGGATTCCAATCCCGCGACGCCAAAAGTTTTTGTTCATTTTTCTATGGACATTTAAGCATCTAGCTTCAAAAACATATTCATGCCTCACAAAATGTTTTGGCAGTAGCCCTACTAATATCGAATGCGATACCTCTGATCCATATACTGGTTCACAATCCACTACGCTCGTCGGTATTCGAGGAATGAAATGTTCAATCATATATACTTTACTACAACTTATAACAAACAACAAAAGCCTTGTCCATGAATTGGCAAAGCACGTATAAACAAACCGCAGAAACCAATAGTTGTTGGTATTGCTTAAATTTGCATGTATTATCTACCTTACATTCCTCTTACTAAGTCGTGATGTAGAACAATAGCTTTGCAGCGTTTATAAGGCTCTTTATAAATGTATTAACACAGTCGCTGGCTACCGCTCGTAAGAATAGCAGGCAGAATTAAAATTAAAATGCATATACTCGGTAAGTTGCACACAAATGTGGTATTTTAATCGTTTATTTTTTTTCATGTGAGAAAGTGGTAAACGAGTGGCGGTTCACCTGATGTTAAGTGATAACCGCCTGCCTATGGACATTTGCAACACCCGTAGGGTTGCAAATGCGTTGCCACGTCTTAATAATGTGGGCCCCGGCTACCTCACTCACCAGACGAAACGCACAAGTGTAACATTTCTACTTCACGCCGGTCTTCTGTGAGGTCGTGGTACTAACCCGGACGGACCTGCCCATTCGTGCAACAGCGAAAACTGTTGCGTGGCCCTACCACCGTAAATTTCAGGTCTACGTGCATGTTAAGAAAAGAATATGTGGCGGAGAAAATCATCGTAAAGATTTTAATTATTAACTATTACAGAAATGTTGCGAAGATCAACATATATCGAAGATGTGTGTATTTTGCATACTCTATAATAACCGGAGGGTTATAGTTTCTCGACTGTTACGCCACTTCAGTGATACTAAGCTATTTGCATTAATAGCGACCCGCCCCGGCTTCACACGGGTGCCATGTATTATACATATAAACCTTCCTCTTGAAACACTCTATCTAGCAAAACCACATCAAGATCCGTTGCATAAAGATCAAAGTATACATAGGGACAGATAGACAGGGGGACGACTTTGTTTTATTCTATGTAGTGATTAATCATGGGTGAAGCAGAAACATTAACACTAGATTCCGGCTCGATCTTCGGGAATTTAGTGTTATAGGCCAATGAAGGGAATGTTATTATCAACGAAAATATGTTAATTAGAGTTAAAAAGGTATCCATACGTAGGAATTACCCTTCAAACATACCTAAGGATATCACATTACACGAATAATAAATGTGAGTAAGTTAAGACCAACCCATTGTTTCAATTAATTGGAATTTAACCCGCCAGTTCAAGCGCCGACGTGCTCCATAACTAGGTAACCATTCCACTTTATTAAAATTCTTAAAATGTTTCTTTATTTTCAGTTATCTTCATACTTCTTTTCCATTCTGCTTTTACTCAATCTCCTAAATGCATCTGTACGGACGACTACAGGCCAGTGTGCGGAACAGATGGAGTTACTTATGAGAACAGATGCATGTAATTCTCGTCAAATATCCATTATTTTACTACAGGACGTGGACAGATACAATCGTTAAAATTTTAATAGTACTAATATCTGCACTTAAATGCAGAACATTAAAATTTGTAGAAAAAATGGACGAAAAGATTTTCACCGCTGCTGTGAAAATCGAGCCCGTGTCTTCGGGATTCACGCCCAGTTTCGACATTTTCAATTGCAGTTTCAACATCACTATACCAATTAATTAAAACTATAAAGAATTATAAATCTGGTGTGTGGTTTACATTTTCTACAGTCAATTATGGATTTAGTCCTGAAAGGTGAACGATAATTTAGGTTTTAAAGTAATCTATCGATGAGAAATCAACAGATCTGATAGGAAAAGTAGGCTGTGAAAGAATATTTTTATGTACACAAATCAAAATGTTATGCGGTGGCAAGCGAGCTAACGGTTCACCTGATGTTAAGTGATAACTGTCTATAGATATTTGCAACACCCGTAGGGTTGCAGATGCATTGCCGACTTTTAATAAAGTAGGCCCCGGCTACCTCACTCACCAGCACAAACGCAGAAGTATAGAACTCCACTTGACGCTGGTCTTCTATGTGGTTGAGGTCCTTCCCCAGACGGACCTGCACATCCGTGTAACAGCGTGGCCCTACCAAAGCTTATTAATAATAATATATTTCAGGTATATACCTAAATTGCATGTTAATTTCAGGTTAGAGTGCTACAGAGCCGTATGTTCATACGAAGGTCAATGCGTAAATAAGAAACAGTCAAATAATAAATAAATAATAATTTATATTTCCAATGTATTTTTTATCAATGTATGTTGTAATTCCTTATACGATAATCCTTAATACTCCCAGATCGATGCAAATGTCTAGACGATGACGAAGATACATAAACATCCATTTGATGAATCCGTACGCAGTCGCCAAGGCTTTGGCTTCGGCGTCAAGGGTCGTGGGTTCGATTCCCACACGGGACAACTATTTGTGTGACCCACAGATAATTGTTTCGCATCTGTGTGATTGTCCACGTGAAATTTGTGTTTGTAAATCGTCCTTGCAACACAGGATAGTGTTATCCTAAACTACGGGCAACGTTTTAAAAAAAATCATCGTGTCAGCCACGTTTTACTACACTGATGGATAGGCTTCCATCATAGTCCGCCATGGGGTAAGATCCTAGCAACCTTCGTCAATCGACTGCCAGCACACTTGCATTGCACTGGTTGTCAATCTATCTAGTGGAGGAACCTCTTATACTACGATGGCCAATACGAGGCCGCCACTCGAGAACCTATATTTTCAATCGATTACATAATTACGACAATACTTTGTTTAATGTTGAAACTAACATAAGCACTATAATCCATTAGGTACATACATTTACTGCCCTACTTCTGTTCATTATTTTATCTTATTACGGTGAATTATTTACCTTGCTAACGTGACAATTAATTTTGAAAGAGGGCGGATACTTCCGAATAAATTTATAAAACCACATATAAACAGCAACAGGCATCTGCATTGCGTATACAAACATTGCGCCATTTATTACACACACTGTTTCATTAACTTTACTTTCTGTATTCCTTTAAGTAAATAATAAATTCCTTCGGAGAGCTTTTTAAATATAATATTCCTTTTATATAATGTAGCCTGGAAATATGCATCTGTTTTATTAAAAAAAAAAAAAGAAATAAATTATCATATTTTTCCATCCTATTCACACCGATATCGCCAGGTCGTAGTTACAGTCGAATTACAAAAATGGGTCAATAAAACAACTATATTTAAAGAGTTTACATGAAAATTTTGAGGACTCAGTGGCGCAGTTGCCCAGGTATTGGCTTCGGCGTCAAGGGTCGTGGGTTTGATTCCCACACTGGACAACTATTTGTGCGACCCACAGATATTGTTTCGCATCTGGGTGTTCGTCCACGTTAAATTTATGTTTGTAAAACGTCCTTACAGCACAGGATAATGTTATCCTAAAGTGCACTTTGCATTGTTTAAAAAAAAGAAAGAGAAAGAAAAATATAATACATACTACACGAAGTTTATATCTAAGTTCTGTAAACAAAATTGTGTCGGTTAGTGTCGGAGCCGGCTTTTGTAACTCAGCTGAATGTTAAACAGCCCGGCTGTGGACAATTATTAGCATATTCGCACTCGGCGTCTATGAATTAATGACGCCATTAGTGTTGAGAATATATTTTTTTTATTTGGTTCACAAACTGAATGATACATTTAATAAGAACATAGTTACTAAAATTAATGTAGGAATACAGATAATGCACATTCTAAAAAAGTGAACACGGCGTTCTATACTAAAAACTGCAATTAAAACACCTTAAATACATAAATATAAAGAGAAACAAAGATCTTAAGAAAGGATGTCAATTAAAATTAAGATTTGTAAAGGTTTTCTTTTTATAGTGGTAATCTCTGCACTTAGATTGAACATTAAAACATGTTGAAAAATTTGAAGCAATGCGCCAAGCACAGCGGCGACAATTTTTTCGTACTTTTTCTACATGTTTTAATGTTCAATCTTAAGTGCAGAGATTAGCACTATAAAAAAAAACCTTCACAAATTTATAAAAAGTAATGGCGACATCTCTCGTTGGAATTATCGTTGTAAAACGATATTCGAAATTAGCTTTTTTTACTATAAATCTTGCGAATCAGTATTTTAGCAGAGGCTAAAATATTGATTTAGCTAGATTAACTGATAGAGCTAGAAGCATAAAACAGATCAAAGTTGAATCCCATATCATTACAAGACGACATCATTCGATAGAAGGGTGAGTGTTGCCCGATGTTTGTACGACAGAATATTATATTACATCCAAGCGTAAAAAATAATATCATATGTATATTATGTCGTGATATGTAGGCCAACTTAGGCCCGCTCTACTAATGTTCAACCTGTTAGCGGGGAAAAATGTATACAGGCTAGGATGTATGAAATTCTCAGATAAAATGATATGCAAATTCCAAAGGCTTTTAAAAATATAAGCCACACACAACTTTTACGGCAAATACTAATGAAAAAAATGTTTTACCTATTGAAAGATGCCTTCATATTTTTTAAAAGAATATAGAAAGAAAGAAAATAAATTTATTTAACAAAAAATCAAAAATTGCACTAATACTTACTAGAGGAAAAAGTTAATAAAAACAAAATCTGTACATAAATAAAATTTAATTAAATAAAATTTAAAACTATGGTGATATAAAAACAAAAGAAAAATAAATTAATTTTAAAGAAAAGAAATATGATTTAAATTACCTACTACCAAAACTTTTATTCGCGACTTAAATTAATTTGCAATATATTTAAAAACTTTTTGGGCTTTATGAGAGTTTTTTTTTTTTGCTTTATTTGACGTTCAAACGTGCAACCTTATGTAAGAATGAACTTCTTGATTTTGTCGTAGAAGAATTGAGAAATGAAGTCTATAAGAATACGTTTATGAAATAGTACTGAATATAATTTTATTTTTTATGTGAAAAAATGTGCGGGAAGTCGATGGATGCATGTGGCTCAGGATTGTATTTCGTGGCAGTCTATGGGGGAGGCCTATGTTCAACAGTGGACTGGAATAGACTGAAATGATGATGATACGTGCGTGATTTATCCGGTTCATTCTCGGTTCAGAGCTAGTGAAGGTGAGTGTGCGAAACTTCACCTCTGACAGTCAATGACTATGTAAGCGGTGACAACTGCGTACAATACGATATATTGGTTTTGCAGTCGTAGAATATAAGAACTCATAAAAAGTGTTGTATGCTATCACGACGTCCGTGTTAGTGATTCCGAAATGGATTCCAGTTCGGGTCCGGTGTACCTTCGACCCATTCCCATAATTAACATTAATATGAAGATGTAGATTTCTTTGTGCAATTTGTCAGATATAATATTTTTTTATTGGATAAGGCATCTTCTTGCACTTGACGGGTGCAATTACATCATCACTGTCATTAAACAATTTCATTGTGATATTAAAACTAGCGCTGCAACTCAAGCTTGTTGGGAGAATTTGCATAACTCGATTTGGTTTGCGTGCGTGCCGAGGGCTCTTTAGCATTTCACAGTTATTAAATGGGCACGAAATATATTATATTAAGATTAGCAATGAACTATAACTATAGACTGTTCTGGGAATACCTGCACCAAATAAACATGTGTAAATCTGCACTCGGCGTTGAATAACACGGGCGTCCATTGCTCTTCAGTTTAATTTAAATGTTCACGGGCAAAACGTAAGCGAACTTCTTTGTTAGCTGTTGAAGATTTTGGACCAGCTTATGCTGGTCGAACAGTGGGATATTCCCTTTCCTCGGCCTGATCGCATTTAATTTAGCTTTTCTTTAATATTAATTGACGTTACAAAACGAATTTACAGAGAAGTTGTCCCAATTAACCAGTTATCACGAGGGGATGATACTAGAGTTTTGCCCCTACTACGTCTTCTTTTGTAAAAACATGGATATTCAAGAAACGGTAGATTGAATAACTTTCTATTAATCTTTCTTTAGTCAAAGCCTTCGCGCGCCAATGGCACAATTTGTGCAGGATGCATCGACGAAGTCCTCACAGTATATGGTAAGGTTTAAATGTGGTAGGGCCACGCAGCAGCTTTGGCTGTTGCACGAATGGGCAGACTCGTCCGGGTAAGTACCACGACCTCGCAGAAGACCGGCGTAAAGTGGAAGTATAATACTTTCGCATTTCGTCTGGTGAGTGAGGTGGCCGGATCCCAATCTTCAAAAGGTTGTCAACGAATCTGCAACCATCGGGAGTTGCAGATGTCCATGGGCGGCGGTATTCACTTAACATCAGGTGAACCGCCTGTTCGTTTGGCAACTTTTCGCATAAAAAAGGAATATTTTTTTTAATGGTAACAAATACTACGCAATAATTCCATTCGACGATTTACATTACACATTACCACCATTATATTAAAAAAAAAAAAACATGAGGCGGTCTTCAATGTTCCATTTAACTGAATGTAATAATATGTTTATATTCAGTAAAAATATTCATTTCAAAGTTGCCCCGAAAATTGATGCAGTTTATGAGTCTATTCGAACATTATTCATGTCATATATTCATAAATAACTTACACAAGTTAATCTACGAGTTCTCTCATCTTGATCCACTTCTGTTTTTATAAGTATAGATTTAACGTATTCAACATAACTTTAATGTAAATAAATACAGACATTCCACGATCTCAGTTATTTTGAGTCATGTTTTATTCAACATTTTATTTAAACAAAGCGTGAATTAACAAATTACATATTTATGATTTGAATCGTTTTAAATATGGCTGCCTACCCCTTATGCAAATTCCGACCCGAGTGCGGAATGGGATCAAGGTTTATAAAAAAAATAACTTGGGTGTGAGAATTTATGCTCGAAATTAATTTTAGTTTTTAAAATATATTAAAGAATATATATGCAAACGTAAATAAGAATGGAAAATAACAGATGATTAAGGTTGTTAAATGAAATTATTTTATTTTTCGCATTTTTCGTGTAAAAACAAGAAATCATTATAGATTTTTAGGGTATTTATGAAATTGACAATATTGTAATAGGAGTTTTATATTTCATCGCAAACTAAAATGATAAAATCTGTATTCCGTTATCTGTTAATGAGAATTTTAACTTTCACAACATATAGCCTTCACTTTTCAGTACAGAATATTTTCATTTTTTTTATGTGAGAACGTGGCAAGCGAGCTGGCGATTCACCTGACGTTAGTGA